TTACGCTGCCTAAAGTCCTCTTTAAAGTGGTAGTAAACTCGTTTACATGAAAAAAAAAAAAAAAGTCCTGCTATAAGGTAATATCAATGTGCTAGTATGCATCGCATACTAGCACATTATGAAAGACTTGCCTTAGAATGAAATCATCCAGCGGCGCACTGTCATGGCTTCAGAAGGCTTCCATCTTTGCCTGGTTTTCCTTCCAGTTTTGACCATGACACACAGCTCTGAAGGAAAGGCAAGAGTATGCAGTTCCTTTAGTGCGCATGTGCTGATATTGTCACCGGCTGCTGGTCCATAGAATATCTCCTAAAGGGTGAACGTTTAGGAGATATTAATTTTACATACAGCTAAGCTTTATTATAACCTTACCTGTAGGTAAAAATATAAAAAGTGGCTTTACTACCACTTTAAAATGGTTCATCACAATAAGCAGTAAAAACGAAAACAAAAAAACATCTAACTATACTACGTCCCAAGAAACAGTAGTTCTAATCTAGGGCTTTAAACTCTGATACCGCACTCATTTTTAAATCCTTTTTCCTTCATCATCTTAAAATGACAGCACAGAGTCTGGCTCCACCCACACAAAGTACGGAAACAACAAGCATACAGATCTCTAAAATCGTTTTTCCTTTTTCTGCAGTCCCTCAGGCACCCTTGTTTTACAGACAGGGGACTGGCTGCATCTGTCTTTTCTGACTTTTTACTGCTCCCAGGACACTGGGGTTTTTACTTGTTTCCCTAATATACCCCTCTGTATTGGCTGGTTCTAAACAACTAAACTGGTGGGCTTTGGTATAGAACTTTAGACTGTGACTAGTGCCTGTTTATGGTTGTTTTTTGCAGGCTAAACCAGCAGATAACCGTAAAACTCCTCCTGTTCCCTTGTTAGAAAAAAGTGCAACCTGCAAAACTAAAATGAATGAATGAATCTTGGGAAAGAGACAATTTGCCAGTCTTTACAAGCTGTAGAATATTTATACTAAATGATTATTAAAAATTTCTTACATACAGTTAAAGAAGTGTTTTTGGCCACAGTTCCACCCTATAGAACCATGCTCACCAATCTGCCACCCACTACTATCCAGCGTAGGGGTTTGCCATTTACAATCACCCCTATCTGCCAGGTTAGAGGATCTTGCATAGAGGAAGTTAAGGATGAAGCTGACAGCAGTTCTGGTTCCTCACTGTCAGGTTTAGTTGAGAAAGAATGGAGAAACCACAAAAATCTCAAAATTCAAGCTAGCCTTAGAAGACATGGATGGCCTTCTTAAAGCCATTTATGACACCCTAGAAATTCAGGGAGAGAGGGTCTGTCTTTTCATACACAATTAGAGGTACAAGCTGCTGGATGAGCAAAAAGGTTGTATTTTCACCAAACACAAGATCTTATTAGACTCATTCAAGAAGAAATGGCAGGATCCTGTGAGGAGGACTTTCTTCTCAAATATTCTGAAAAGAAAATTTCCCTTTGACAAAGATTCCTCCCTCATCTGGAAGAAGATGCCTAAGCTTAAGGGGACCTTTATTCAAAATCTTAAAAAATATGGATCTGGCCTTTGAAGATATAGACTTGCTAAAGGATGCTATAGACAAAAAAAGATAGATTCCCTTCTTAGGCAAGCATAGTAATTTACCCTTCCAACATCAAGCTGGCCTTGGCCTCAACCTGCATGGCAAGAAATTTAGAATTTTGGCTCTCTCAGCTGAACACTCACCTGGAGGCAGGTACTCCTACAGATCAAAGTCTAGATTCTGTCCTCACTCTCTTTAAATCTGTGAGTTACATGGCCGTTGCCCCTGCCGAATCAATACAGATGTCTGCCCTTTCCCAGCTCTAATCAATTTGCTCTTCTAGGCTTTTGGTTGAAGACCTTGCTAGGATAATCCTTTCCAACAGTAAAACTTTGTGTAATTCATTTTTCAGGAGATGCTCAGTCCCGAGTTGGAAGTTTTATTAGATTGTACAGAAAAAAATGCCTTTTTTTGGGAAAAGGCAGATGGTTCAGTCGAATAGGAACTTTTTTCCATCCCTGCAAGCTTCAGATTCAGCAGTCAAAATAAACCAGACAGAAAAAGATGTGGGTTAACAAAAAACATGAAGCCAAGGGAGGAGTGCGGTTACATCTTCCAGGAAAGCCTGCTAGGCAACAATGGCTTTGTCCCTCAGTGGAAGGAAGACTGAAGATCTTCCTCACTCAATGGAAAGAGCTCACATTCTGTGTTTCTATTCAGGGGCTGATTCAGGGATTATGGACCTAAACTCTCTGGACCTCCTCCCTTGAGACTTCTTGTCGCAGAACTACTAAAAGATCAAGTTAAAGCACACGCGCTAACGTTGAACTTGGGTAAGTTGCTGCATCAGAGAACTGCAGTACCTTTTTTTCCCAGAAGAGTCTGAAGACTTTGAAAGATGCCTATTTGAATATCCCCATATCCTTTCTTAAAGAATACTCTCAGAACCTCCTTCAGTAAGGACAAGAGACAGAACTGTGCACCTACAGTTCAGAGTGCTCGTCTTTGGCCTCTTTCAAGGTCACAAGAGCTTTACCAAAGTGACAGCAGAGGCCCTTGCCTTTCTGTGCCTCAAAGGATTTCAGTGCTACTGTACCTGGACAATCTCCTGTTCTCTGCATTAACCAACACCTGCAGATATTGCACACATATGTCAAGAATTTAGGATGCTTACTGAATTTGAGAAGTCAAGTCTAATACCATCACAGACAGAAATGTTTCTGGGCTATGTGACTGATTCACAACAACAGAAGATTTTTCTTCCAGAAGAAAAATTCAAGAACCTATGTGTGACAATGTCTCTGCTTCAGTTCCAGCAATTTAGTGGGCCTTCACGCTCTATGATGAATCGTGTTTTTGATCTGGATTTGCCAGATAGACTCACCAGACCAACTGTTCACTTTTCAAGCAACAAGGTCACTATGGTGGTGGAGGAACGTTCCTAATTTATCCCTAGACCAACCTCAAATAGGTGTGGGATTTGTGGGGCTGGGGTACAAAGATGGTACAGGATGCGATGCAGCAAAGTGTTCCAGCTGGAGGAAGGTTAAAACGAAACTAAAGCTTTCTTTTTTAAATTAAAATAACAAACATGTTATACTTATTTGCTCTATGGAATAGTTTTGCACAGAGCAGCTCAGATATTTCTGGGGTTCCCTCTGGATCTCTAGGCTCCTCCTCTTTGGCAGGTGCCCCAATGAAAAGCCGGTTTCATAGGTTCACCATTGAACCAATGGCTCCTGCTGCTATCAATCTGCCCAGTGAATAGGTAGACAGCAGCCAGATCCGCTGCTCTGGAAAGTATAGGAGGTGGCTGGGGGGGATCCTGCAGCACAGAAGTTTTTTCACTTTAATGCATCAAGGTGAAAAACCTTAAGGCTTCAGAGCCACTTTATGGCAGTAACATTAACAATAACCAGTTTTCGGCAGGACATTTTGGGTCACCATTAACAAGTCTTCTCAGATAATGCTACAACCCTGACATACATCTTAAGGCACGAAGGAACATGATGTCATGTCCTCCTACACATAGCAGGTGAAATTTGTTATTGGTCAGCATGGAACCTTGCTTTGCTTTTAGCAATTCACCCAAGGAGAACTCAGTGACAACTTATTCATCACCAAGTCCTAGAATCAGAGTCAATTACAGTAAAATTTTATTTTCTTGGTGCATGGAGAAAAACTTCAGCCCCCTTAGCACTACTTCAGTTCTGGATGCTTGAAGGCTTGATAAAGGCCTTCTCTCTCGAGTATTTTAATGGTACAAATCGAGCCCTACATGTTTTCTTGGAACCATTGGCCTTGGATTCTCTAATTGCCAGACCGTTGAAGGCAGTGGCTAGATCAAAGCCATTATTGGTCAAGTGATTTTTTAAATGGAATCTTTCGATTGTCCTTCAGGAACTTACCAAGGAGCCTTTAGATCTTTTATATATTGCCTAAACTTTTTTTTTTCTCAAGATGTTGATTCGTTATTACATCAGTCAGTCATGCTCGTGAATTATAAGCACATTCCATCAGACAGCCTTTCTATTTTTTCAGACCAGCAGACCCAAGTAGAGTCCTAAGGTTTTTACATATGATGTATTTGAACTTTCAGAGTTCCCAGGATAGTATCCTTTCAACCTTCTGTGCAAATCCTTCCTGTCAATATGAAGAGTCCTGTCATACTAAGGAAGTGAAGAAACAGAAGGCTCTTATACTTAACCAAGGATTTAAAGCACAAACAACTTGCTCACGTCTTCATAAAGGCAGAAATTTTGTCCTGCGCCACAAAAACCAGCTCCTCCATCTCCTCCAACCTGTTCAAGTGGGCTAACTATTCCCGAACACTAGGTGGGTAGGTGCTCTCCATAATAGGTTATTATTTATTTTTTCTCTCTTGCAGGCTTCCATCTAGAGGTAGTCTTCTAAAATTGAGGTAGTCTAAGGAGAATCCTACTTAAAACGATCCGCTAGTATTTAGTGGGTAAAACCACATGGTCTCTCTCTCACATGCTCTCCTAAAAAAAACTCCTGGAAACATGTGGCTAAATCAAGTTTTCATATCAGTGCTGCTGATCTCCTTTTGCCAGTTCACAGCAATTTTGTGCCTACATGCACGTACTTCAGAGGCAGCTACTTGTCTGCTTGAGGTGAGATTTCCAATTGTCACAACTGTTGATCATATCTGCACATTGCAGCACCAGTGTTTACAGTCTCTACCAGGGGTGCATGTGACCGTGACAACTCAACAGAGCAACTGGGAGAAAGGGATAGAGAATTGTCATTCTAGGAAAAACCTTCATGTCAGAATTACCAGATTTTAATAAAATCTGTAAATTTCAAAGATTTAAAATTACTTTTGAAATTACATTAACGTTTAAAGATAATTATGAGGTTTTTGCTGTTGGGTTTACATATTTTAATCAATATGAACAGTCCAAACTGTAGAAACATTTCCAAACTAAAGACTTCCGTGATAAATTAGATGGAAAATATACCTTCAATTTCCTGGCGATTCAGTATATCAGCAGCTACAGCATCAACTTCTAGCTCACACGTGCTCTGTGGTTCTACTCCCTCCAGTAGTAAAGAGCTGTAAAAGATATACAGTGATTTACATAAGTCCATTAGGGTCAGGAATATTGTTTTGTTTACATATGATTTAATTTCAAAATCATTAATTCCAACTGTTCTTGTTCAGTTAACAATTCCCAAGGACGCTAACTAAGCAGCAGCTCTTACTTTATATAAAAAAAGAAGTCAAACTTTTCTGCTTTTATATATTTTTCAAACCTCCTAAGAGAATTGTGGTCATATGCTTCGGTTGCTGGTAAGCAGAACTGTAATACAAACAAAATGTATCAACAGAGAGAGGAGCTTTACATTAGTTCTCTACAATGGGGTGACCTAGAAATGTCATGGTCACACAGAATTCCTCTATTTTTTCCAATGTAAAATAGAAGTCCAACCTTACGATACCGTATATAATTGGATCCACTTTATGAAAAGGTGTTAAATTTAAAAATACATTTCATTGCATATCATGTAATCCCTCAATTTCCTCTCAGCATACTACTCAGAGTTTTTCTGAGGTGTGATAATCCTTTCGAATAGAACATCAAATGGCAAAGATATCCTAAAACTAACAGAAGCACAGTATCATTGTTGGTATGGCTTTAAAGTATATTTAAATTCAAGAACAAAAAATTTTATATATTACAGTTTAAAAGTCCTTAGATTTTTTTTTTTTCTTTTTAACAGTAAATGTTTATTGCAATTTTCAAGGAAAATGTACACAAAGACATGGAAAAAAAAAAAAAAAAGAAAATACAGTCCACCAAAGTGCTGTGTCTATATAAGTGTAAACGTAAAAGGAGGTCACATTCACTAGTAACTAGGAGATAAAAGAATAAACCTGTCCTATCTAGGAAGGATTAAGTTAAGGAGGCATTGGTGGAGTCATAAATACTTAGGATAAGGGCCGTACCAAGGTACAGACTGGGAGATGGTACACACCAGAATATTAAAGCAGAGTTCCACTCAACCTATCAAAAAATAAAAGTTAGTAGGTACAAAAACTGTAGCTGCGGACTTTTAAAAAAAACAGCCACTTACCTGTCCTTTGGTCCCGTGGTGTGTCCCCCGCAGCTGTATCCCAGGAGGCCGGCATCTTCAGTGTGGGCACCCAGCTGTGATAGCCTGCGGCTTCACAGCCGTGTACCCACTGTGCATGCGCGAGTAGTGCTGCGCTTCGTGAATGGTCCTGTAGTCTTCTGGGACCAGTCACGTGTCCCAAAAGACTACAGGGAGGGAGGGAGGACACCTTCCGATCGCCTAGGCGATCGGACTGGAAGTGGGAGCGGGAACCTGTCAAATTCAGGTACCCGCTCTCCCCAAAGGTGCCAATCCTTAATGGGGAGCGGGGGAGCAGTCCTTAAAGCGGAACTTCCCATTTTGGGTGGAGCTCCGCTTTAAGGAAAGTAAGGCACTGGTGGTCTCCGTCTCACTATGTTTATAAGGTAGGGATAAGAGCAACAGCCTAGAGCAGAGTACAGGCAAGCAAACTTAAAGGTGGAAGATCTGGTGGTAAGGGTTGGGTGGCATCAAGTGGATCACCCAGATGTGATCATTTTAATTATTGAAAAATTGGACTGGGAGATTTCCAGGCCTGTGCAGATGTTTTCCTTTTTAAGTACAGAAAAATATCAGTTGATCCAGTCGGAAATCTTGTTTCCTTGTAACTTTTTGAGGACTGAACTGAAAATGTAAACAATTATTAGCTTTTTCAACAATCCAATTATACACAGTGAAGTACAAGCATGGGCCCCTATGTAATGGAGTAAAGGAGAGAGGGAAGTATTTGAAGTCCAAATCTGGAGAGCAGCCAATGGTGACACTGTTGCTCCTCCATAGATACAGTGCAGCGAGTGAGCATTGTCACCGTAGGACAGTATGTTATAGACAGCATCATCAGGTTAAACGAATGAGGGAAAAAGTAATGGGAAGAAATAAAAAGGGAAAATATAAAAAAACTAATGCAGTCAACACATCCAAAGACTAGTAAGCAGCAACAAATTCACATTTTGCGTTTTGGTTTGAATACACTATTTAAACCAGTGACTTCAAAGCATGCAATTTGCTTTGGGCATGAGATCAAGGTCAGAAAAATATATTGTTTCAGATTAAACAGTTTAACAAGATGAACTTGTATTCATTATCATTTTCATACATTGCTTTTACAAAACCATAGTTAAATGTCACATTTGCAGTAATCAAAATTTGTTGTGTTCATATTTGCAGACCTGGGAATTTCATCGGCTTCCCACTGAGCAAATGTGGCCATAAAGGAGCTTCCCTGGGTGGGATCTTCATGAACTTTCAAGACTTGCGATCCTTCCTCTAAAACAAACGAAAAAAAACAAAATCTGAGATATCCAATCTGGCATGTCTTGTTTGTCTCTTTGCAATAAAATACTGAACTACATTTTAGTAGTATTTGATATGCATTCAAAACAATCTGCAGCAAAATACCAGCATACAAAGAACATATAATGAAAAAAAAGGTGAACTAAAATAGAAACATATCAAAGGCTATCAGGGGTGCATAAACAAATCTGGAAGTTATAAAAGGCAGAAAAAAAAACAGACATTCCAAGTTACAGTATTGATCTGCTAATTTCTCTAATGAAGACAGAAGAAAATTTTAATTACCCTTAAGCTATTTCAGTAATACAATGCAGAGGAATCATTTGCAGATGAGCTGAAGTGAATACTGCAGTGTCAGGAGAGCTGTTCATGTGATGTGAAGCACCAATGATCTTGCTTAGAAGGGGACATAACGAAGTAAAATGGAATGGAAAAACACTTTGGAATCTACTTAAAACTAAAGAACAAATTAGGTTCACACTTTTACAAGGACCAATATTGCCTACACAGAAAAAAGTTAAATCCTCAATCAAGACTAAATTTTTTTCTTTTCCCCCAACCCTCCCACTACAACTCACCCTGCTAAGCAATTTCCCCCTTAACTAATGAAGCTAGATATACTCACCAAAGTTTTCCCTGCAGGTCCCTTGCTGCCGCTAGTTCCTGGTGCCATGAATCCAGTGTTGTGAATTCAGCCTGATATCGCTAGCCCCATACCATCCCCTGTGATAATGTTATCCTTTTTTGGATCCTGAGAGAACCCTACCACTGAACATTCAATAGAAAGTGTCCATGCTATGCAAGAACTGATGTGGGCAAAGTAAGAAGGACCTCAACAGGAAGTATACAGAAGAAGAAAAGACTCTGGGCTGCGGTATCACATGACCATGGTTTAGGTAAATGAAAAGGGCAGTTTTTTTGATGCAGCAATCAGAGGTGAGTGGGAGGGAGGGGTGTGTGGGGAATTAAATTTATCAAGGAGGGGCTTAGGTGAGTTATCCCACAGAGCATTCACAAGACACCTACACAGAAACAGGATATTACCTGTGTAGTCTACTGTAAATAAGCTGCCATGGTAGGCAAAAGGGGCACCAAACTCTTATATTTAATTACTGAAAAAAAAACGTTTTTATTTACTGTAAAATCCTTATCCTGGGAGTCTAAAAGAGACATAGGGCCAGAAGAAATTCTGAGATGATGGGTTTTCCTGCCACATCCAGAGAAATTGGAAACTAGCAACAACATCAAAAAAAAGTTGAACCGGCAGTATAACACCCCCCATCATGAACCAGATTTGTGGAAAAGCAGTAGGAGTGATCATAAAATGGAGTTGTAGCACCTGTATCCTTTAAAATAATTTTCTTGTAATTCATTAAAGTAGATCAAAAATACTGTTTTCTTATTCTTTCATTAAAGGGCACTTGGTCAGAAGGAATTCGGAGATGCTGGGACCCCCCAAAAAAGCCCAACCAAGGGGTGGGCAACACAGCAAATAACAGTAAATCTGGGGACTACTTGCGGCTCAAAGCGCTGACTGAAGGACCTCTTTAATAAAGTTGCCCAGGAAAGCAACAAAGAGGCATTCTCCCGCTAACGGCATACGCAGCAAGCATTTGGTTTTTTTTTTTGCACCGCTGTTCAGCAGATCAACATTTCAGCCAAACAGTCCTTTGTATACATTTACAGTAAGGAGACTCATTCTGGTGGATATGAGACAAACCATATCCACAAGCCCATCAACACAGTAGCATGAGGCAGCAGGCATGAATTCTAACAGTTTCCAAACTGAAGGATATGATAAAATTGTGTCAGAACACTTAGAAATGTCCTTGGTCCAGACCACCAAGGTTTGGCCGAAAGCCATGACAGCAGTAGCTGGTTGCAGAGTAGGGCCTGCCAGAGAAAGGAGGGACTTGGAAGGGATTTCCAGTCATGTATCACCAAGTCTTTAAAAACCTGAATATTCTCAACAGGGATGGTCAGGGTGTTTTTAAGGCAAGAAATGGGCACAAGTACCATTAGGAGGGAACATTTTTTCACAAATTCCTCAATAGGGTATTGATCAGCAATAGACTTTGGAAGGGAAAATAGTTTGTTGGGAGGGGAAAAGAGCTGGTCAGGAGAGGACCAGTCATCATACAAAACCAGCAGTAATAACAAATATACTCAAAAGGTTTTGACGAGTTGGGGTCTTTTAAGGGAGCCCAGACTAGTAACCTTGGTATGCACAGCCTCAAAAAAGACAGATATTGTACATCGTATTGAACATCATACAAATGGGAAAGCATGTGTAATGGTCCAGGGTAGAGTCAGCCTTTCAGACCAACGTCAGGCAAGCAGCCATGTTTCTTCTTATGTTGTCTCCAGGCTGCTCACTAGACAATGAATTGGCATTGTCACCTCTTGCTATACCAGCAAGGAGGTGATCCTGCAAACAGTAAGAGCGCTTTTACATTTGCAGCAGTCATTGAAAAGCAACAGGCTGACATTCATTCAAGGAGGCGATACCGTGGCTTCCTAAATGCTTGCTTTTGTTTGATAGTCACACAGAGGTTTTCTTTAATCATTTGCCATCCAGAGGCTTTACCCCCCTTCCTGACCAGGCTATTTTTTAAGATATAGCGTTGCGTTACTTTAACGGACAATTGCGCGGTCATGCAACGCTGTACATAAATGAAATTTATTTCATTTTTTCCCCCACAAACAGAGCTTTCTTTCAGTGATATTTGATTATCTCTGCGGTTTTAATTTTTTGCGCCATAAACAAAAAAAGACTGACAATTTTTTAAAAAAACAATTTTTGACATTTTGCTATTAAACATGTCCAATAAAAAATTTAAAAAATCAAATTGTCATAAATGTAGGCCAAAATGTATTCTGCTACGTCTTTGCTAGAAAAAAAAAAAATCCCAATATGTGTAAATTATATAGTTTACAGCGTCTACAAATGGCGGTGTATACATACTGGAATTTTTATACTAGTAATGTCGGCGATCAGCGACACAGTGACATTAGTACAGTGACCAGTGCCAATAAAAAGTACTGACATTATACTAATGACATTTGGCAGGAAGGGGTTAACTTTTGGGTGATCAAATGATTAATTGTGTGCTGTGTGTGTTTTACTATGTGTGCTGTTTTACCTTGGAGACATGCTGCTTTGTATTTCTCTGCTGTGCAGAGAAATATAAAACAGCATGTCCTTGCTAGCAGGAGAGAGACCTGTGTTGTTTACACACAGGTCTCTCACCTGTCAGCTTTGCACGGCGATCGCCGGGTGCCGGAGGGGAATCTCCGGCCAGGACCCGGTGATTGACATGCCTAGCAGGCAATGGCAACACAGGTAGGGTGGCACGCACGTGTTCCGTAGCCGGAAATGCAATATATATATATATACATATATATGTAGCAGTATTTCTGCTATAGGGCGGTGGGCAAGCGGTTTAATATGTATACTTCACTGCAACTGCGAGCCTAGTAGTTGGTTAACGGTTTTGGCACTGCCCCTTTCACTTTAATGGGTTGCATTCAGCATAGATAGTGCCTACCAAATGCAACAGGGAGAATCCTTTTTGCTGTGGTATGTGTGTGACTCCATTAAGTTGCAATGTTATTTTGCTTAGTAAAATTGCATCTATTCGTACTGCCTGCCCTGACTGCAAATGTCAACGTGCCCTTGAGCTGAAACAGAAAGTATTAGAGTGATTCTCCTGGCTGTGATGCCTGTGATTGCAAAACCAATTGTTCACATATTCGTATACCAACTGTTTATTGAGCGGTTTGCCTGGAGTTCAGGACTCCCACATTCAGGAAGAAGGTGACCAAGAAAATTGAATTACATTTCTATTCCAGTGTTTGCCTGTATGTGGCCATACACTGTTCAAATTTCACTTCGTGGGTGATCCTCTTGGCCACCTGATTCCCAATATCCTTCAATAGATAAAATCAATTAAGCTGGGTGAAAAAATTGTCATCCAATAGAACGTAGTTGCTGTTCAGTTATACTGAGAACAGGCAGGGCCAGCTGTCAACATACAATAGCTGCACCAGAAGATTATTCATGTATGCAAGTATGCATGGAGGAATGTAAGATTTTTCTAGTTCAGCACACCGGCTGAATGAAAAAAATCTAATACAGGTGTACCTCAGTTTATGAATGCCTCAGTTAACGTAATTTTCGGTTTACGAATGAAAATCCATTGAAAATAATGCCTTGGTTTATGAATTTTTTAGAATTTTTTTCACAATACAAAGTGTATGTCGGTGCCGATTTTTAAATGCAATTGCCGGCTTTTTTTTTTTCTTCACTATAGCTCACAGAATTAGCGGTCACTTTCCCTGAAGCTAAAGAATACTTTGTTTCTTTCATCTCGGGAAACAAACTAAAAAGGAAACATTGTTTCTTTTAACTCAGCAAAATAAACGAAAAGGAAACTTTCTTTTTAGCTGGGTTGAAACTAACAGCTGATTCTCTGAGCTATAGTGAAGAAAAAAAAAAAGCCGGTAATTACATTTAAAAACCATCACTGACCTATAGTGAAAGCAACTTTTTTTTAACTTTTTTCTGACATCCGGAATGGATTAATTGGTTTTCAATGCATTCCTAAGAGAAACTGCGTTCCGGTTTATTAATTTTTCGCAATACGAGACCTCACGGAGAACGCAAAAAATTTCGTAAACCGAGGTGCACCTGTAGTGTATGACAGTTTAAGCAGTCGATAGACAATGCATGTAGATTTGTAACAGATTTATCTTAGCTGCTGAACTAAAGGAATACCTTCAAATATATGAGCAATATGTCAGCAAGCATGGATTAAAAAAAAAAAAAAAAAAAAAACAGGGGGCAGAACTCCTGCACAGAGCTATAAAATAAAGGATATACTTGGGAAGAGACCTGCACATGAGTAATGCTGTCACTCCGCTCCCCTAAATCATATCAATATAGGGATCACTGCACAAAGCAGAGTGCATTGGCAAAACATGTTGTACATTCTGTTGTATTAATACAAAGTATAGAAGAATTATATGGAAAAGAAGTAGATGTACACTTTACTGAAATCTCCAATACATCCCCATCTATATCAATCCCAGAGAAGCACAGCAACAGAGTGGAGGTCAGCGGTATGGGAAAAATACCTCAGGATTCTGTCCTTTGGAGAAGATGACTGAAAGTTTCACAAACAGCTCCATGGAAACAAGAATTCAGAGCAAGCTTAGCATGACTCAGTAATGTTTGACCAGAATGAACACTAAATCAATTCCAGATGCACTAACGGACAGGCAGCAGCCTGGAGGTGGAGCAGCTGCTACATGACCTCTTATTAAGAGATCATGACTTGCCTGCATTTACACAGCGTCAGTGATGTAGTCTTTTACAGAATGCTAGGGAGACATTCTTTTGGCTAAAATAAGATATGGAAAGACCTGGAAATAAGAAATTGTCTTTAATTTTAGGTATTTCGGAAATGTAAAGATTATATTCTTTAGGTTTACACAGATCCCATGTGGAAGAAACCTAACATAAAAGCCATGTAATTAGATTTGCTAATCTTTCAACCTTTGTATTTTATTTTGTCATGATCTCAAACATATGATTCTGGTCAAAAACCTGTAGCTTAGATAAAAAGACATCCTATGAACACATACCCATATCACAACCAAAAATGCCCTTCAAAAGTTTATCCACTTCAGCTCCGAAAGGTTTTACACCCCCCCCCCCCCCTTCATGACCAGGCCATTTTTTGCTATTTGGCACTGTGCTGCTTTAACTGGTAATTGTGCAGTCATGCTGTACCCAAACAAAAATTTTTATCATTTTTTTTCTCACAAAAAGCTTTCTTTTGGTGGTATTTGATCACTACTGGGTTTTTTATTTTTTGCGAAATAAAACAAAAAGAGACCAAAAATGTTAAGAAAAAAAAAAAATAAATATATATATATATATATATATTTTTTTTTTACTATAAAACATATCCAATAATAATTAAAAACATTCTTCTTAAATTTTGGTCAAAAATGTATTCTGCTACAGGTCTTTGGCAAAAAAATCCCAATAAGTGTATATTGATTGATCACCAGTGACACGAATACAATGATCAGTGATAATACTATACGTTGTGTCATAGTACTAATGACACTGGCAGTGAAGGGGTTAACATCTAGGTTGATCAAGGGGTTAAATGTGTGCCGAACAATGTGTAATGTGCGTTGCTTTTACAAATAGAATGGTTTGTTTCTTATTCGCAGGAATAAGATTGTTCCCTCTGTACAGAGCCCTGTGTTGATTGCCAACACAGGGCTCTGGGCTGTGGTTGGACACAGCTGATCAGCAGCTCCAGGTCATGAATCATTAGCCAGGACTTGTGGACGGACTCCTGCTGTGTACAATAACAGCAGGTGTCGGGGGGTCCGCCTGCCCACAATACATTGTGGGTGGGTGGTCCTTGAGTGGTTAAACAATTCTAAAATTAAATAGCACTGACTTTCATTAATTATTGTTATTACATTTTAAGCCATGATGCAGTCTGAAAAAGCACCCAGATCAGAGAATTAATTTAGATATGTCTACAATTAAAAGGAGTCTATAATAAAACAAACATACACACATTATATATATACACAGTTGTGTTCAAAATAATAGCAGTCAGACATCACTAACCTGATCAATCACTGTTTTTGGTAGAAATTATATTTCTACATGGCAAATAATTTACTAGCAGGTGTAGTAGAGTAATAGAAATCCAACAGACCCAACAGTCATGACATGCATGCTGCTGATTCTGTGTAATTGAATCACTAATTGAAAGGGGCATGTCCAAAATAATAGCAGTGTGGAGTTCTATTAGTGAGATCATTCATTCTTTGAAAAACAGGTGGCAATTATTGCCCTTATTTAAGGAAGGAAGGCAGCAAATGTTGTACATGCTGGTTACAGTGCATTTTTCTCTCTGAAATTCTGAGGAAAATGGGTTGTTCCAGACATTGTTCAGAAGAACAGCATACGTTGAATAAAAAGTTGATTGGAGAGGGGAAAACATATAAAGAAGTGCAGAAAATGATAGGCTGCTCAGCTAAAACGATCGCAAATGCTTTAAAATGGCAACCAAAACCTGAAAGACGTGGAAGAAAGCAAAAAACTACCATTCAAATTGATAGAAGAATAGCCAAAATGGCAAGGACTCAGCCAACAATCAGCTCCAGGAAGATCAAAGAAGGTCTAAAGTTACCTGTGAGTACTGTTACAATTAGAAGACGCCTATGTGAAGCCAAGCTATCTGCAAGAAGCCCCCGCAAAGTCCCACTGTTGAAAAAAAGCTGTGCGGAAGAGGTTACAATTTGCCAAAGAGCACATTGACTGGCCTAAAGAGAAATGGCGCAACATTTTGTGGACTGATGAAAGTAAGATTGTTCTTTTTGGGTCTAGTGGCCGGAGACAGTTTGTCAGACGACCCCCAAACACTGAATTCAAGCCACAGTACACTGTGAAGACAGTGAAGCATGGTTGCGCAAGCATCATGATATGGGGATGTTTCTCATACTATGGTGTTTGGCCTATTTATCGCATACCAGGGATCATGGATCAGTTTGAATACATCAGAATACTTGAAGAGGTCATGCTGCCTTATGCTGAAGAGGAAATGCCCTTGAAATGGGTGTTCCAACAAGACAACGACCCCAAACACACCAGTAAACGTGCAACATCTTGGTTCCAGACCAACAAGATTGACGTTATGGAGTGGCCAGCCCAATCCCCGGATCTTAATACAATAGAAAACTTGTGGGGTAACATCAAAAATGCAGTTTCTGAGGCAAAGCCAAGAAACAGAGAAGAACTGTGGAATGTAGTCCAATCATCCTGGGCTGGAATACCTGTTCACAGGGGCCAGAAGTTGGTTGACTCCATGTAACACAGATGTACAGCAGTTCTCAGAAACAGTGCTTATACAACTAAATATTCATTAAGTGATTCAAAGGAAAGCAAAATCTTTAAAAATGTTTCAGTTTATATAGTGAATGTTTGAGTTTGTAAAGAAGAATACAAACACTGCTATTTTTTTTGAACAGTCTAATATTCACTTTTCTTAAATTTTTTTAGAGGAACAACACAAATTTGATATATTTTTCTTCATGTTTTGATTTGGCCACTAGACCCAAAAAGAACAATCTTACTTTCATCAGTCCACAAAATGTTGCGCCATTTCTCTTTAGGCCAGTCATTGTGCTCTTTGATTTGGAATAGAATGTGTAGTGTTCCCAATGCATTGTGTGTAAGGAAATAAAAGCTATTAAAAGGATTTTGAGCTTTATTCACTTTTTTCAACACACTGTTATTATTTTGAACACAACTGTATATATAAAACATCATGCTAAAAATCTTTACCTTTTCTCCGTGCCCGTCTGAACTTCACAGCAGCAAGATTTATCAGGTTCATCCCATATAAATTGTAGTCTATGAAGAGCTGTAGAAGGTAGGGGACATGGGCCTCATGAGGCTGGTAACACTTATTCATTACAGCTCCTCCTTGCAGCAGTTCACTCACTCTGGTTAAGAAAAAACAAGATGTACACTAGAATTACAAAATGTCTAAATGTGAAAATAATTTAGCTTTTAGATGTACTACACCAAAGCAATAGGAGATTTTGTAGTACAATTAGCGACTCAGCTTAGTTTTTACTGTCTGCCAACTGCGGGACATTTGTAGGAATAATCTATATTTGAACTTGATTAGTCTTGGTTCCTTCTCCCAGAACCTTTTTTTTTTTTTAAATGTGCAATAACTAGAATGAATGGAACTTCATGTGGTTCAGAGTCTGAGCTGGATCGATGGAGGAGTCACGTAACTGTTCTGGAGGGCGGTAAGGGAAGACTAGTACTGGAAGGGTTTTTTTTTACCTCAATGCAGATTAGAGTGAAAAACCTTTAGCATTTAGAATCACTTTAATGAACTTAATATCAGGCATGCATTTTTTTTTCTTTTTAAACGCAGCACACTGCAATGCAATGCCTTCTGTGTGCTGGGGGTACTGCAGTGCAAACATGTTGCCTGCTACTGTAACAGTGTGTTAAGATGGCATTTCTAATGAATGGTACTGCAATGTACTGTGATGTATGTGACATGACCCGCCCACCCCTTTAACATCACAGTCCTCAGTCCCTCCCCCCTTCACATCATAGCCCCCCATTAAACTACAGTCCCCCTTGCAATTACAGCTCCCCCCAACTTCACAGTCCTACCTTAACAAAGCACGGCTGATGATGGGAGGGCTGGCAGGTCTGCACGGAGAGTGGAAGCTGCCCAACTCTTCATGTTAACAAGCAAGTGATTTTGATAGGACTGCCTTGCTTCCTAACAACCCACCACCTGCTTGTTAATTTGAATAGTTGGGCAGTTCCCACTCTCCCATGCAGACCTGCTCCGCCTTCCTGCCCTCTGCCCTGCTGTGAGGTTGACAGCAGCAGTGGAGGCAGGTGGGAAAGAACACACTAGAGAGGACATCCACCCTGGCTGCTGGCCCGGTCCAGACATGATTGTCATGACCGCAATCTGCCATTCAGTTATGCCTGCCCTACATCCTCCCCACAACCAGGACCTGTTTCACTTAACTCTATAGGTTAATAGCGGTCACTGCCTATGCAGACAGTATAGCGATCCAGGGATCTGAAAGCCCTGCTCTTCTTCCTCTTCTTTCTTTAGGGCTTTCAGGATGGATCAGAGTAATTCTAGTAGGTCACAACCAAACTGGAATCACTCGAATCTACCCCGAAGGCACTAAGGTAAGACACAGAAAGAGAGCGAGGCTTTCAAATCCCTGGGGCATTGAACCAGCTGTGCAGGCAGGAAAGCATAGTGTGTTCGTTCCCCTTTTAATTTTTTGTGAACTTACACTTTAAGGTTGTTTGGGGGAAATAAAGTGCTTATGTAGCTGCATTTTGGCTAATGGCAATTACAATAAAAAAATCTATGCTATTAACACATACCATATTCTCAGTGCAGTGGCTGCTATTGCGAACATCGGATTTTTAAAGTGTATTTCCACTTGTGAAGTCAAATTTGAGAAAACCCCACTATGTATCTTTTATACACTATTCAGAGGGCATGCATAATCAGTGGGTAAAATAAATATTGAACACATCACCATTTTTCTCGGTAAATATATTTCTAAAGGTGCTATTGACATGACATTATTCACCACATGTCAGTAACAACCCATGCAATCCATACATATGGAAAAAAAAAAAAAAAACAAGTTCAGAAATGAATGTGTAAAAAAATGGAATGACACGGGGAAAAAAGTATTGAACACATGAAGAACAGGAGGTGCAAAAAACATGGAAAACCAAGACCAGGCCTATAAAATGGTGTCATTACCAAGGTGTCACACAAGAAATATCTCATGATGGGCAAAATCAAAGAGCTCTCTCAAGACCTTCGCAACTTTATTGTTGCAAAACATACTGATGGCATTGGTTACATAAGGATTTCTAAACCTCTGAATGTTCCAGTGAGCACTGTTGGGGCCAAAATTCCATAAGTGGAAAGAAGATAATTTCCCCATAAACCAGCCAGGACCAGGGTGCTCCTCACAAGATTTCTGACAGAGGAGTAAAAAGAATTATCAGAAAAATTGTCCAAGAGCCAAGGACCATTTGTGGAGAGCTTCAGAAAGACCTGGAATTAGCAGGTTCAACTGTTTCAAAGAAAACAATAAGTAATGCACTCAACCAGCATGGCCTGTATGCACACTCACTACACAAGACTCCATTGCTGAAGAAAAAGCAAGTCGAAGCTCGTTTAACGTTTGCTGCACAACATTTAGACAAGTCTGTGACATACTGGGAGAATATAGTCTGGTCAAATGAGACCAAAATTTAACTCTTTGGATGTCATAATACACACCATGCTTGGAGGTCAAATGGCACTGCACATCACCCCAAAACACCATACCAACAGTGAAATTTGGAGGTGGGAACATCATGGCGTGGGGCTGCTTTTCAGCATCCAGTACTTGCAAACTTCATGTCGTTGAAGGAAGGATGAATAGAAAAATGTACCAAGACATTCTTGATAAAAGTCTTCTACAATCCAGCAGGATAAAGATGAAACCAGGGTGGACATTTCAGCAAGACAATGATACCAAACACAAAGCCAAGGAAACTCTCAATTGGTTTCAAATAAAGAAAATAAAGCTGCTAGAATGACCCAACCAATCACCTGACTTGAATCCAATAGAAAATCTATGGAAAGAACTCAAGATCAGAGTTCATAGAAAAGGCCCACTGAACCTTCAAGATTTGAAGACTGTTTGCGTGGAAGAATGGGCCAAAATCACACCTGAACAATGCATGCAACTAGTTTCTCCATACAGGAGGCGTCTTGAAGCTGACATTACCAAAGGATTTTGTACTAAGCATTAAATACTAAGCATTAAATTTAGTTAGCATGTTCAATACTTTTTCTCTGTGTCATATCTGAACTTCTTTATTTTAATTTCTTTGTATGTATGGATTGCATGGGTTGTTACTGACATGTGGTGAAAATTTCATATCAATAGCACCTTTAGAAATATATTTACTGGGAAAAATGGTGACGTGTTCAATACTTATTTTACCCGCTGTATATTTTTTTAAATATATTTCTTACCTTTTAGAGGTTTCTCTGGATGTGTCATGCCGGAAGACAAGATTTTTTGGAAAATGTCAGAGTGAGTCTGTCTTCTATAATATACAGTGCAAGAAGCCTAGTCCCTAAACCCTTAACCCTTTGTTATGAAAGACAGTGTTCAAATCAAGCTACAATTGATAATGAAGATCTGCCTGCCTACATACAATGGTATTGATAACAAAACACAGACACCCAGCCCCCTCACTAAAGAGAACTAGGATTTTTCCTTGCTGTAAGGTTCGAAATAGCACACTTAAAATAGTAAGCTGCAACACATATAAAGTAGGTATTATCCTGATTTGGCTGAAAAGTGGAAAAAAACTAAGCAAATTAAACCACATCCATCCATTATAATACAGTTTATGATGACAAGAAAAATACAAAATCCTGTTCCTTCTTTAAAATTAAAGAATTTAAAAAATGTTCTGCAGAAACAACTCTAGAAGTTCTATTTCCACCAACACAAGCATGCTGGCACCTAAAGGGAAATAATTACAGGAAAAGAATTGTGATTTAGTCCCCATGAGTCTCTTAAACAAAGTACTATAATTATGCACCTGTAATCATAGTGTAGTTTGTGGCATTACTACTGGGAACTCATCCCAGGTGTAACGCATGTACTGCTTGAATACTAAGTGCAGGATGTCAACATTCTAGTGCCAGCACACCTTAGAAAAGAAACTATACTATGGAGAGTACATGGAGTTAAAAGTTAGCCCATGTGAGTGATGCTCCTCTAAAGATGTAGCTCAGGGGTGGGCAAACTTTTTGACTTGAGGGCCGCAATGGGTTCATATATTGGACCCGGGGGCCGGACCAAGAGTAGATGAATGATGTGTATGTGTCATCCATAGTAAGTATAGTAATATTCCCCCATAGTAAGCATAGTAATTAATCCCCCATAGTAATTAATCCCCCATATAGTAATTAATCCCCCATATAGTAATTCATCCCCCATATAGTAATTCATCCCCCATATAGTAATTCATCCCCCATATAGTAATTCATCCCCCATAGTAATTCATCCCCCATATAGTAATTCGTCCCCCATATAGTAATTCGTCCCCCATATAGTAATTCGTCCCCCATAGTAATTCATCCCCCCTATAGTAATTCATCCCCCATAGTAATTCATCCCCCATATAGTAATTCATCCCCCATATAGTAATTCATCCCCCACATAGTAATTCATCCCCATATAGTAATTCATTCCCCATATAGTAAGTCCCCCATATAGTAATTCATTCCCCATATAGTAAGTCCTCCATATAGTAATTCATTCCCCATATAGTAAGTCCCCCATATAGTAATTCATTCCCCATATAGTAAGTCCTCCATATAGTAATTCATTCCCCATATAGTAAGTCCTCCATATAGTAATTCATCCCCCATATAGTAAGTCCTCCATATAGTAATTCATTCCCCATATAGTAAGTCCCCCATATAGTAATTCATTCCCCATATAGTAAGTCCCCCATATAGTAATTCATTCCCCATATAGTAAGTCCCCCATATAGTAATTCATTCCCCATATAGTAAGTCCCCATATAGTAATTCATTCCCCATATAGTAAGTCCTCCATATAGTAATTAATTCCCCATATAGTAAGTCCCCCATATAGTAATTCATCCCCATATAGTAAGTCCCCCATATAGTAATTCATTCCCCATATAGTAAGTCCCCCATATAGTAATTCATTCCCCATATAGTAAGTCCTCCATATAGTAATTCATTCCCCATATAGTAAGTCCTCCATATAGTAATTCATTCCCCATATAGTAAGTCCCCCATATAGTAATTCATTCCCCATATAGTAAGTCCTCCATATAGTAATTAATTCCCCATATAGTAAGTCCTCCATATAGTAATTCATTCCCCATATAGTAAGTCCTCCATATAGTAATTCATTCCCCATATAGTAAGTCCCCCATATAGTAATTCATCCCCCATATAGTAAGTCCCCCCCCTGTGTCAATTCACTTACCTTTGGTCCGCGCGTTCCTCTCGTATTCCCGCGCCGTTCTGGTCTTCAGGGAGGACTGTGAGAGGAGTTCGTCACGCTGCCCCGCCTACATCCTGACAGCTGCAGAGTCCTGACGTCCGAGAGGAGGGAGGGGGGCGGCCATCCGAGAGGGGGGGCGGCCATCCGAGAGGAGAGGAGGGGAGGGGGGAGAGGAGGAGAGGAGGGAGGGGAGAGGAGGAGAGGAGGGAGGGGAGCGGGCGCCCGGCACACAGGAGAGCCGCATCTAAATTTGTAAAGAGCCGCGGCTTGCCGACCACTGGCCTTGCGGGAGCCTAGCTCCGCGGGCCGGATTAAAAGGTCCGCCGGGCCGGATTAAAAGGTCCGCCGGGCCGTATACGGCCCGCGGGCCGTAGTTTGCCCATTGCTGATGTAGCTCAACCCACTGTAAAAAAACACAATTGTTTTTTAGGCAGATTACATCAAGCCATCTGGAAACAAATGTCATCTGCACCTTCTGCACTCAATACCACCGCAGCAAAGTCATACCATAAACAGAGAACTGGTGGTGATAGCCTCCCCCTATTCAGTGGGTCAGGAAGGAATAAATTGCATTTTATATTTATATTACTTTCTTCTCAAATTACATTATATTTTGCAGAGAACATGCACAATAAACAATTAGACAATTTTAAATGTTTACCGTTTCACCATGGCTGGATTGTAAAGATAAATCTTCATAAACTGTCTTTCCTTTTCATGATACCCATAGAAAGGTCTGTAAGAAAGCACACAACACAAACCGTTAGTGATGTCAGCACAAATACTGACTGGAATATGACATTTAACCTACAATACTGCCATTTGTAACATTAACAGTCACTAACCTGCAATAATTACAGATCTGTAACAGGGTTTGTTTACACTAGCAAAAGGGGACTGGTGCTCCTCTGAAAAGTGATCTACACTTGAATTGCTTTTCAGAGGTGTTTGACACGAGCTGAGAAGGCGATAAGTAACCTGCTCACCGCCTGTTTTGACCTCTGTGCTCTGTTCACACTACAATGCTGGTGTGATATGCAGTGTATCATAGGAAAAATGAAGCATGTCTGTATTTTTCCACAGGGCATTGAATGGCACTGTATATCATCACACTGCAGCACTACACACCTCACTTCTCTGCAAAGACATGAACAAAGCAGGACACTGCAATTTTGCGCACACCATTCTGAAGCATTGTAACACATCTCAATGTGCTGCAGTGCAAGTACTGTAATGCTTTTAACATGTTCACAATGCACACAAACATGAACACATTATGCGCACAGTGTGGTGTGAATGGCCTCTTAAATCTATATTACAATTTATTATCCTTCATAAGCAAATTACCATATTTCTCAGTTATCAGTGGAATCTGGTGGTCAATTTACTCCCTAGCTTCATGAATCACAAAGATTCTAATGGTCAGATCACCCTGCCATAGTTCCCATAAACCTTGGAGACTTCGATGTTCAAATCCCTTCTGTTGCACATTCCATATATAAAGAATAAAAAAAAAATTTAAAAAATCAGAGTGTAATGGCTCAAGCTGTGTAGGTCTATTAACAAGTATAAAAATCCTGCCAAAAAAGTTAAGAGATAAACACGATTAGCGATCAACCAAAGATGAACCACTCCACACATGCAGAAAGAGCAGCAATGTATAGGAAATACCTATACAGCGGCAAAGTGCAGCAATGGTTTCATGTTGGCTTACTGCACAGATCAGGAAGAAATACAAAAAGATGACCAGGATATAAGTAACATTAAAAATTCCTCCTATATTTAGACAAATATTTATTTAAATTTATTACAGGTAGTTGCATAGCGCTGTCAATTTACACAGCGCTGTACACGCATATATCATATTATATATTCAAGTCAGTCCCTGCCTTTAAGAAGCTAACAATCCAAGACCTAAGCTCACATTCATACATACACATACTAGGGCTAATTTAGACAGAAGCCAATAACCCTACCAGCATGTCTTTGGAGTGTGGGAGGAAACCAGAGTACCCTGAGGAAACCCACATAGGAACAGGGAGAGCATGCAAAATCCATGCAGGTAGTGTCGTGGTTGGGATTCGTACTGACGACCCTAGTGCTGTTAGGCGAATGTGCCAACCACTTAGTTAATTTAGCTTTAATTTATTTTTATTGCAACCTAGACAAATACCATGCAAGCTTCAAATTAGCTTCCAGCAGGTATATAGCTATTTTCAGTCTCAGCTTATAAGGACCAGGTATGTTCATAGCTAGGTCAAATTAGTTTCTGTATAATGTCTAGTATTGTTCAGAACCCTGGAAAGCATCCTGCTGCAAACAGGCCATTGGTTCCCATTACTGTCAATCACAACCTGTAAGCCAATGAGAGAGCAGAGGTGGGCCAAGTCTGTGTGTGAATGGACACACAAAGCAGCGGCTTAGGAGCAAGCTTGCTCGGGTGCCCCCATAGCAAGCTGCTTGCTGTGGGGTCACTTGGCAGGAGGGAGGGGCCAGGAGCACAAGAGAAAAGGAGGATGTGCCCCAATCCTCCTGCAAGACAACTGCACACAGCAGGTAAGTTTGACAAGTTTGTGATTTAAAAAATAAAAACATTAAAAAAAAATACACACACACACACACAATATTGCCAAAAGTATTGGGACACCTGTCTCTACACGCACATGAATTTTAATGGCATCCCAGTCTTAGTCCGTAGGGTTTCATTATCAAGTTGGCCCACCCTTTGCAGCTATAACAGCTTCAACTCTTCTGGGAAGGCAGTTCACAAGGTTTAGGAGTGTGTCTATGGGAATGTTTGAAATTATTTCCAGAAGCGTATTTGTGAGGTCAGGCACTAATGTCAGATGAGAAGGCCTGGCTCGCAGTCTCCACTCTAATTCATCTCAAAGGTGTTCTATCGGGTTGAGGTCAGGACTTGGTGCAGGCCAGTCAAGTTCCTCCACCCCAAACTCGCTTAACCATGTCTTTATGGACCTTGCTTTGTGCACTAATGGGCAGTCATGTTGGAACAGGAAGGGGCCATCCCCAAACTGTTCCCACAAAGTTGGGAGCATGAAATTGTCCCAAAGGTCTTGGTATGCTGACGCCTCCAGAGTTCCCTTCACTGGAACTAAGAGGCTAAGCCCAACCCCTGAAAAACCACCCCACACCATAAATCCCTCCACCAAACTTTACACTTGGCACAATGCAGTCTGGCAAGTATCGTTTTCCTGGCAACCACCAAACCTAGACATGTCCATCAGATTGCCAGACAGAAAATTGTGATTCGTCAATCCAGAGAACACTTCTCAACTGCTCTTTGCATTGCACTTGGTGATATAAGGCTTGGATGCAGGTGCTCGGCCATGGAAACCCATTCTATGAAGCTCTCTACACAGTGTTGTTGTGCTAAGCTGAAGGCCACACGAAGTTTGGAGGTCTTTAACTATTGACTCATGCGCTGACCCCGCTCTGTCATTTTAAGTGGCATACCACTTCCTGGCTGAGTTGTTGTTCACAGTTGCTTCCACTTTGTTATAATACCACTAGCAGTTGACTGTGGAATATTTAGTAGCAAGGAAATTTCACAGATGGACTTACTGCATTGGTGGCAACATATCACGGTACCACGCTTGAATTCACTGAACTCCTGAGAGCGACCCATTCTTTCACAAATGTTTGTAGAAGCAGTCTGCATGCCTAAGTGCTTGATTTTATACACCTGTGGCCATGGAGGTGATTGGAACACCTGAATCAAATGGATGTCCCAATACTTGAAGCAATATTGTGTGTGTGTATAAAATATCTCTTTATAATCACTCTAATAGTATTTATTATTGAATATTGTACTTTAGTTTGTGTTCTTAACGTAAAATACATATGCATACAAACACTTGTAAGTTTAAATGATTTAATGGCAGATCAAGACCATCAAACCACCAGAACATGGTACAATTCCATTCAATATTTTACAGCAAATTAAAGCATCTGTCCACATAAGGGTGGAATGAAAACATGTCGCAAACAAAACTTTTTAGGAATTTTCACCAGTTTCTGTATCCATCTTAATTGCCACCAAGGCTTTGAGTTGTATTTAATAAGCCTCAGAAAGCAGTAGACACTCATCAATTGTACTCATGTCTTGCATTATGTGTAGGTGAAACTTTATGATGGGCTAATTAATCATATATAGTGATGGCTTATAATCAGTACTGTATCTCAGAACAGCCTAAAGAAGTTAGATACCAGAAGCATTTTAGGACAGCATAGGAGAGAGTGATTTCACCCACTTATAACAGATAACACATGATTCACAATTATAATAGGCCAGAACAGACCAGTCACCCCTGTTTTAGGCAAGAACCAAAAGGCAACTATAAGACCATAATACAAAAAGCAATATAATTACATATGAATGGGAATGATCTGCTGTCCAGGACAAATCCTGGAATTGGAATTACCGGTTAAACACTGTTTTCCCCAGTCATCTTCAGACAGTATAGGAGAGGACAAGTGTACTATGTACTTGGCCAAAAGCAAGCTATAAAAGGTTACATTGTTTTTTTTCCAATCACTCTGAGGATAAGTCAGAAAGCGGAACAGGCATAAACCAGGTTTAACCATTTGCCGCCCGCCCTATGGCCAAATGGCGGCTGGCAAATGTCATCAGCGTTCCGGGTGGACGCCATATGGCGTTCTCCTGCACATGCGCAGATTGCGCTCCAGCAGAGCCGCGCAATCTGTCACCAGCCGTGTACCTCGGACATGCCCGATGACAGATCTGAGTATTGGCCCCCCTTGCAGGTACCATGTGACCTGCTGTGACCAATCACAGCAGGTCACATGACAGTTGTATACAATGGATGGCTTCATTCATGCCATCCATTGTATACTAGTGTCTAGCTGTGAATGGTCACAGCTAATCACATGCACATGTCATGTGATTAGCTGTGGCCAAATCACAGCTAAGCACAAAAAAAAAAACAAAAAAAAAAACAAAAAAACCCTGAATGAATTGATGTCATTCAGGTAAATGCTTGCTTATAGCAAAGTAATTCTTTGCTATAAGCAAATTGTGTAAAAAAAAAAAAAATATATATATATACTGATCACTTCCCCAAAGTAGTACAATGGTACTATGGTAACATTGTATTACTTCGGTCATAGTGAAATATGAAAAACAAATCTTAAAAAAAAGAAAAAAAAATGTAATAAAAAATAAGAAATATCACCGCCATGCCAGTTATATGATGATGCTGTACTGCACTGGTGACAATATGTAAAAAAAAAATAGTGAAACTAATTTTTTTAATTTTTTAATTTTCCGAAAAATTATGACAAAAAAAATATAACTTCAAAAAAAACTCGCCATGCCTCTTATGAAGTACGTCGGACTGTCAACTTTGCAAAAAGGGGTCATTTGGTGGATATCTGTACTGTTCTGACATTCTTGGACCTCAAGAAATTAGATTGGCTGTCAGTACTTCAGGATTGATCAATATTCAGATCTATACCATAGTTTGTAAACTCTATAACTTTCCTACAAACTAAAAAAATACATCCTAATTTGGGTTATTTTCACCAAAGACATGTAGCAGAATACATCTTGGCCTAAATTTATGAACAACTATTTATTTGCAAACTTTTATAACAGAAACAAAGAAAAACGTGTTTTTTTCAAAAATTTTTTTTTTTGTTAATTGAGCAAAAAATAAAAACCCCAGCGGTGATTAAATACCACCAAAAGAAAGCTCT